AAAAAACCAAAAAAAACCCCAGCAACAACAACAGACCGATGTAAAAACGGAACAAAGTCATTTTGTTTTTGTTGTTTTCATTATTTTGGACTCCACGATGACACACAACATAATCACCAGACTCTTATTCTATTCCTCAACTGAAACCGCCAGGAAAAGGCTAAAAAATTTTGGAAAACACACTCATTACCTGATTTGCAAAGTCGATGTCTGTTTAAATATGACTATACTCATATTCATGGACTTGTTCAGGTATTTAGTACCCAAAATCTAGCGTCAAGTATCTTTTTTTAAAAATAGAATGATCGTAATATTTGAGAAAGCTTCACGTTACCGTCGACATTTTAGATTGGCCTGGGCTGCTTCGACACTACTCCTTAAGGCCGGCAGGGTTGTGTGGGATGTTGCTTCTCAGCAGAAAGACGGATAGAATACGCAATGAAATATTTTCCTTCCAAGGCAATCAATATTATTATTGTTAGTCTAATAGGTGTAATACTAGGAGCCAAAGAAGCATGTCATCCCACACATTGAAGATTTGGCTGATTTCCAGCCTGTCTTAGCACTTCACCGGCTAGTTAACTGACTAATTAACTGACATCAGAATAATTGACTGAAAAGCAGAATTGGCGAAGAAAATACAATCTTTATGGAGTACATTCTCAGAAAATCAGTCATAACGGTGTTCTATAAGTGTAAGAAATCATGGGAATTTTGATTGCTGTCACAAGCATACAGTTTCCAAACCTCTTGCGGTACCAGCCACAGTGTGAGTACCAGCATCCGTGCTCTGTCGAACCGGTTAACACAAAGTGAGTTTTGTAAGCATGGCAATCACAGCTCGTTTCATTGTTGTTGTGGGCCGAATAATTTCATGTGGTTTTCTGCACAACTACGCTGTATTCAAACCTTATTGTTTTCAGAAAACCTGAAGGTACATAATTTTCTTTGTAATCCAACTTTTTAAATGTTCTTATGTGGTCGGTCGTTACACATTTAATATTTGTTATAATCTTTTAGATTTTGTACTTCGATATTTGTAAAAACGAACACATTGTTGTTTTTTAGCCCAGGTGCCTGCATTTATAGGTCTTCTGTTGTTGAAATCTCTTTTCAAATCTATATGTTTTCTGAAAACCTGAAAGTATATTTATTTCTTTATCTTCCTACTGTTTTGAGCGATAATTGATGTTAGTCATTACATCTTTTAGTGTTTGTTCATGCCTAGTTGTCCGGGCCAACACATTATTGTGTTTTAGTCCATATGATAGCATTTCAAAGGGTTCTCTACACAGTTACGCTGTATCCAAACTTAATTGCTTGAAGAAATCTTGAAAGTATCTTTATTTCGTTGTCTTTCAACTTTTTTGAGTTAAGTGGTCGATCGTCCAATAATAAATATTGGTTATAATCTTTTAGTTTTTATACTTGCTTGGTTGTAAAAATTAAGACATTGTTGTGTTTTAGCCGAGGTGCCTGCATTTATAGTTTTTTCTGCTGTTGGGATCTCTTTTCAAAGCTAAACGTATTCTGAAAACCTGGAAGTATCTTTATTTCTTCATCCTCCTACTCTTTTGAGTGATTTGTGCGGTCGGTTGTTACACTTTTGGTAATGGTTATATATTTTTTGTTTTTCTGCATGCCTGGCTGTCAGAGCTAACACATTATTGTGTTTTATTACAGGTGCTTGCATTTCATAGGCTTTTATTCTGAAGTGCAAAACTCTATTCAACCCTCAATGTGCTATGAAAACCTTGACGTATCTTTCATTCTTTGTCCTCCTACTGTTTTGAGTGATTTGTGCGATCGGTCGTTACACTTTTAGTACTGATATTAACCTTTTAGTTTCTGTGCATGGTTCGTATTAAGAACCAACACACCATTGTGTTTTAGCTCAAGTATTAACAATTTATAGTTTTCTCTGCAAGGCCGGCGAAACTTTATCCATACCTTACTGTTTCCAGAAATACTTGAAGTATATTTATTTTTTATCCACCTACTGTTTTAAGTGATTTGTGCGTTTGGTCGTTACACTTTCAGTGTTGGTTGTAATCTTGTAGTTTTTGTGCATTCATATTTGTCATAACCAACACATTATTTTATTTTAGCTCAGGTTCTTGCATTTTATAGGTCTCTCCACACAGCTATACTCTTTCGAAACCTTGATGTTGAAAAAAAAAGGCCTGGAAATATCTTTTTTTTTCTTCTTATCCTACTGTTTTGAGTGACTTTTGCGGTTGGTTATAACGCTTATAGTATTAGTTACAATCTTTTAATATTCGTGCATGCCTGGTTGAAAGAATCAACACATTTTTGTTTCTTTATGTCTTTGTCCTCCAACTGGTTTGAGTGGCTTGTGCGGTTGGTCGTTAGATTTTTTATATTAGTTATAATCTTTTAGTTCTTGTGCATACCGGGTTGTAAGAATCAACTCATAATAATTTTTTTACCACAGGAGCTAGCATGTCAATGTTTTTCTGAAGTGCAAAACTCTATTCAAACCGAAACGTGTTCTGAAAGCATGGAAGTGGAAGTATCTTTACTTCATTGTCCTAATATTGTTTTGAGTGACTTATGGTTTGTCGTTTCACTTTTAGTATTGGTTATAATCTTTGAATTTGTGTGCATGCCTAGAAGTAAGAACCAACACATTATTTTGTTTTTGGCCAGGTGCTAATATGATTTTCTGCTGTACAAAACTCTATACAAAGCTAAATGTGTTCTGAAAACCGGGAAGTACTTTTATTTCTTTGTCCTCCTACTGTTTTGAGTGACTTGTGCAGTCGATCGTCACACTTTTAGCATTGTTATCATCTTTTAGTTATTGTGCACCCCTAGTTGTAAGGGGAGGGGGTGCTCCTCTCTGGAAGTCTCGATTTGCCTGAAAAGTTTGGATTTTAAGTTGAAGGCATTTTTAGCGTCTTAAGCTTCTCTTACAACTATTTCATTGCACAAGAACACCTTAAATCCGTATTTCTTCCCATACCGGGATGTTTGTCACCGCCATTTCCTCATAAAGTCAATCTTTTATTTTTCGTCACTGCCCGTTTTCTCGAAACGTGGTTTTTCTATACATTAAAAAAAAAATAACTCCAACATTTTTTTTTCAATGTTCATGAAATTTTCACAGAATGAAGAAAATAATATGTAGAACTAAAGGTTTGTGTGACTAATTTGTGATACATAGAATACTTTTTTTGTTGGTGGTGTTTGGAGTGTGGATTTTCACGGATTTTTTGCAAACATGAATACTACAGCAGGAACAATTCATAAAATATTTTCTATTACATTAAGGAAAAATTCAGCACAGGCATTAGTAGATCTATTGTTTGCTAAGATGTGTGCAAAAAATTCTTTCCCTTGAAAAATGAATGCGGTATTAATTACGTAAGACACGTCAACAAAATCCGATATGGCCACCTGATCTATGAAAACGAATCCTTTTTCCTCAGATTTGTTTGCGGATTTTAGTACTCCTTGCTATGCTTGTTAAGAGTGTGACATTTTTTAACATTTGATTTACTAATAAGCGAGATAGCCTTCAGCTGTAGCACCCCCCCCCCCCCATTATAAGCCAACGTCTTCATTGGGTTTTAGCTCAAGCGCTATCTTTTTAAAGGTTTCCCTGTTCGGATAGATTCTAATGACACCTTCATGTTTTCGTGAAATCTGAAAGTATATTAAAATTGTATTTCTTTGTCCCACTATTGTTTTGAGTGACTTGAGCGGACGATTGTTTCAATTGTAGTATTGGTTAAAGTCTCTCTCTCTCTCTCTCTCTCTCTCTCTCTCTCTCTCTCTCTCTCTCTCTGTCTGTCTCTCTGTCTTGCTATTTCTTTATGTCTCTCATTCTTTTCTTCATTCATATTCAGTGATATGCGTGTAGTAGCGTGTGTCCTCTCGTACAATTACCAATGGCTCTTGATTTTTTTGTTGCGCGAATCATTATTTTTTAAAGTATAATTTGAATTTAAAAATTCCATATAATAAAAAAGCAATATCGTTCACACGTCCGTCAATCCATATAACCCACTTGCCTCCCGTCTCCCTTTCTTACACAGTTATACTCACCACAGTTATAAGGGCGTGTTTGAGGAACTAATGGCAAGGTCAACATAATAATAATATACGAACGCTAGGAAAGAAACAAAAGGGATTTTATTTACTTAGTATAACAAAAACAGAAGTGATAAGAGGGCAGATTGAGACGGACGTCATATTTGAGGGTTGGGGAGAGGGGGGGCGAGGGGGGTGGGGGTGGTTCGTTTTATATTTCTTGTTCCGCTCGACAGCCTCCATAACTTCCAGACGTCAACTGATGCAAATACGGTACATGTTTTTAGATACGTTAGAGAGGGTCTTGTCTTCTCCTAGCAGATGGATCACCGTTTGTGAATGTTCACGGCTCAACATTTAAGGCAGACGTCTTCTAAAGTCGCAAACAGGACTGAGCAGATTAAAACAGCAACACTCGGTTGTCAACAGATTAAACGGAAGGATGTGTACTTTTGCCAAGGCCTGCATACAATTGCTGAATAGTATACAGTGATACTGGATCTCGAGACAAGGAAATGGAAAACGTTTTATCTGCAGTAAAAAAAATTAGAAGATAAATTATGTCACGTTCTCTGTGCGAAACGATAGATTTTCAAATCCGTATGACAATACTGGTCGATTCCTCGCTGAGAGAGCAAGAATGAAACCATTACGATGATAACCACAGAGAAACCATTGCATCTCTGCAATAAAATGTATTATCTTTAAATAGTCAAAGGATACGACTCCTCAACATGAGAGTCAAGGTTACACTGTTTCTGTGCCTGGTGACAGGTCAGGTGACACACATCGTTTCGGCAACCACCGATGATTTTCTCAGACTCCACCATAAACTTACCAGCAATTACAGGTAAAGGTTTTTCTTTATTTCCCTATTGCTTAAAGGACAAAACATAATGTACCTTGTGGCAGGTACTCAGGGGGCGTTTGCTCCTTATTTCCTATATGTGTGTCGTTCTTATCTCTCCTCTTTTTTATATTTGTTTCTCTCTTGTCACACTTCAGATCACCTTAAATGATATGCTCAGATTTTGTTGCAAGAACCATAATATTATTATTCTTTGCCACATCGACAGGCCGAAGGGCTAGAACGCAGATTGCCGCTGGATCGGAAAAGTAAAGTAAAGTAACGGGGCTCTCATGGCCTGCAGGTTAAGGAGTTGGCCTCTCATTCAAAGGTCCCAGGTTCGAATCCGAGTAGCGACCAAAAAATGTAATTCTCTAAAATTGTCTCCTTTCACATTCTTTCCTGCTCTCTAGCAATGTTCTGTCGTCTGCTTTCGTCTCCACTTTCTGTCCCCACCCCCTCACCTCCTTTGCCCCTCCTCTGGGATCCTTACTCTTTCTGCGGCCTTTCTACTGCTACTCCTTGGCTCCTTCTTACTGCTGTCTTTCAGCCACACCCCTGATCTTCTGTTAGGAAAGATCTACACCTAGCTTTCTCGGACGAGGGCGAAAAATCTCGGAGGGTTCGTGTGCAAGTTGCGCACGATAAAGATCTCAAGGTGGTCTAAAATCTATAAGACTAAGCTTCGGCCGCCACCCGGGCAAAATTCAAAATTTCCTGCCAACTGAAAAAGTTAAATGTGTCCCGCGCGCTCATATGACCTTATGCAGTTGCGAGCGCTTTAAAACACTTACCAAAAAAAGTAAAGTAAGTAAAATTGCAAGTACCATAAAACGCACTCCTAACACAAAAAAGCGTTTGTCATACCTGCGTCTGGGGTGTAGCGGTTAGGCTCCTTGCCGTGGAACACAGATCTCTTGAGTTCTATTCGTGTATGGAGAAAAGTTTGATCGAGTATCCCCGTCTTTCTGCTTGGACGTTGAATCCTTTTCAGCCCCGTTTTGCCCTGACAAGCAAGATCCAGGCAGCCAAAATTACTAAAACTGTGTCGATGAGGTATTAAAACACCTATGTCAAAATTAGATTTGTTTTACCATGCTCAAACAACGTACGTTTCAATGACTACGTGCGATTCATTCATATAAGGGGACTGTCAACCACTGTTTGAGCAGTGGTATAGGTTATGATTTTTTCGTGTTTGCACGAAAACACGTTTAGTTCAACAGCCACGAGGAAGAGGAGAAGAGGTTTATTGTGTAAAGTATCGCCGTCTTCTGCAGGGATGTTGTTTCCCAATTATGCATGGCAGGCCCTGAAAGATAATATTAAAACAGAAAACCCACCAAAATATTCCCCTAAGCTGCGTAGAAAAAAGGGGGGGGGGCGGGTTAGAAAGTACCAGTCAATTTGAGAATGGATTCCGTGTTTTGGATGGCACTGAAGCCTAATTATCGCCAAAAGATTACGATAATGATGGAGATGTAGTGTAGGGGTCGCGATGACTATAATCACCACACCATGTTCATCTTTACACACTTTTCCCATTCTGCCTTTAGTACCCACATGCGTCCTGTACTGAACCAGTCTGAGAGTTTGCCCGTTCGTGTGTCTACTCGTCTGTTGTCTGTGACGGGAGTGGACGAGCCTCGGCAACTGGCCACCATCGTATGTGCCGTCCGATACAGCTGGTGAGTAATTACTAAAAAAAATTAAACACTGTATGTCGTCATCGACACAGTTTATAAATTTAAAAAACCTGTTAAGTATGCCCATTTGAATCCTACGACAACGTCTGAAGACGTACCGTCTTGAGGTGATGGAAAATGAAGCAAACCTTCACAATTCAATCAGACTTTTCAACTCAGTTTACTTTATCTAAAACCTATGAAGGCAGTTTACGGTATACGTGCTACAAAATCTGTATATTCGTGGTTTTGACCTGTGTATGGTGTTTCATATTATGTGCTACATAACAAAATTACTTTTGATCTGCAGCTCATTGAAGCTAGTTCAAGGCGAGTAGTTTTTACCTTACGTCACGTTTACCTATTAATTGTGGAGACCCTGGGTTTTGAGGCATATACAAGCTTTTATAAGTTAAGAGCGGCACCTACTTTGACCGCAATTATAGCTGGTTTAAAGCACCTAAACATTAACCCCATTTTACTAACCTAACCAGTTTTGTTTTTCTTCCAACAGCAAGTGTGACTAGTGGGCACATTGACTGTCCTTTTGTAAATGTGTTCTACGTCTGATTACGAGTGACTATGTATTTGAAAGAATTATTGTATGTTGAATTGGCAAGTATGCATGTCACATTGATTTAAATCTTCTTTTATTGTGAAGCACTTAGAGCCACAAGGGAGTGGGTGCAATAGAAGTGTTCTTTATTAAAGCTATCATTATTATTATTATTATTATTATTATTATTATTATTATTATTATTATTATTATTATTATTATTATTATTATTATTATTATTATCATTATTATTATTATTATTATTATTATTATTATTATTATTATTATTTTTATCATTATCATAAGTGGCTGTTTTAAACTTTAAAAAAATCTAAAGTAGTGTTAGTGTTTTTCAGATTTGTTTTCCCTTCTTTCATTACCATTTCGAAAATGACCTGTTATTTCGAGTTCCCTCAACTTTAAAAAAAATCATGTCCATTTTTTCAGGTCTGTCAGACCCATACCCTAACATTGTTGCACTGCTACAGGTGTGACCCGTTCTTAACCTGGGATCCAGTGGACTATGGTGGTATTGACGTCATGTTCCTGGGCCAGGACGATATTTGGACACCAGACATGTACCAGCTCCACTCCCCTGACGGACGAGGAGTGCTCAAAGAGCTACCCACACATCATATGATTCTGCCTTCAGGTCAGGTGACCTTCAGATCTGCAGGTTCCTTCACGACATTTTGCAACCTGGATATGACCTACTTTCCTTATGATCGACAGAACTGTTTGTTCAAGTTCGGGGTGTTGGATGCCATGCTGAAGAACGTTGAGCTCGTTCCAGATGGCGTTGAGGTGTCTCAGGAATTCGTAGACCACTCAGAATGGGACATAGAAGACTTGCATCTTGCTCAGGCCGCTTATGGACGAAATGACGAACAATTTAGCGTTGTAGAAGTTTTTGTAACTCTTAGACGACGTCCGAGGTTTCTCGAGGTGAGCATGATCGTGCCCGTGTCTCTGGTCAGTTTCCTGAGCCTACCAAGTTTCCTGGTTTCAGTGGAGAGTGGGGAGAGGCTGAGTTACTCCCTCACTGTCCTTCTTTCATTAGCTGTCTACGTGAGCAGCACAAGCAGTATAATGCCCCACTCGTCCCTCAAACTGCCACTCTTGTTGCTCTATTGGCTTATGCTCTTTCTACTCAGCTCTCTCTGTGTACTTGTCAACGTCATATTGACATATATTCGCCGAGCTGGCAAAGTGAGAGTAGTTCAAGGCTCAAAAGTTATAACACTCTGTGGTTTCCATTTCCGTATGAGAAAAAACACAAGACAGAATTATAATGAGGAACATCTCCCGCATATGTACACAGATTTAAAGAAGATCAGTAAAGACAATTCTCAAAGTCAACCACTAGCTTCGAAAGAAGTGTACACAACTGAAGGAGAAATGCACAGTCATTTATCATTTAAGGAGGACAGAAATGCTTCCGGTGACGCCATTGAAAATTACGAAAACCTTCGAGAGAAGAAAAACAAAGCAGTTGCCGGCAAGGAAAAAGAAGATGGTGACCATTCAGACCAAGACCCCGATTTAGAAGAACTGGGATTAAAACTGGACAAGTTAGCACTTTCAATTTTTACTCTTGCTTTCGTTATCATAACGAGTGTCACTTTCTTTCTTTTCTATTTCAAAGGATCTTAAAGGTATGCAAATTGTTTACAGCTGTACCGGCTTTATGCGTTTAATACATTACACACATTTGTTTTTGTAATTTTCATAGACATGTATCATACCAAAGAGTATACATAACAAGAGGGTCCACTCCTCTCTTTGAGCCAATAAAAAAAGTGTCCTCAAAATTCGGTGGCGCCCTCTTCGCAAATGCGCACCCTTTGCGAACAGAGTTACCCGACTTGTGTTAAAAAAATCAAAGTGAAACTAACAAGTTTTTTAATAAATAAGAATTCAAATTTCGGAAGAACGCTTTTTTAAGATGGTTACGCTGGAGGAAGGGGCGACTGTTTTCTTCGTTTAATTTGACTTTAGAATGAGAGGCGAGAGGTCATTAAGAAAAATTTTAAACCCTAAAACTCCGCACTGAACGAATCGGAAAAGCTGGTGAACAGCAGTCGATCTGCGCACGCAAGGACGTGCTATTCCTATTTTTCTTCTGGAGAAGCGAAAGAGAGCTTCAAAACAGACTGCAGCGCCATCTGAAGCAAAGAGCGGACTTCCGACGGACACGTTTTTGGCTGAGTGGACCATCTTGTTATGTACTATCTTTCATCATACTATCCAAAAGTAACTATTATGACTATACAGGGTGATTATAAAAGGAGACACGAAAATCATCACGTGATATTTCAAAAAAACGAAACAAAATAGAAAACTCTAGCTTGGACACGTCATGTGTTGTACATATCTTCAAGTTTTCTAGTTCATGTTTTACAAGTTCTCAATGTGGCCACCATCAGCAGCACGGACAACACCTAACCGATAATATGACAATTCCTCCCAAATGCACCTCAGAATATCTCAGGCAACCGTGTTGATTATAGTTGTTATTCAATTTTTCACGAAAACGATATTTGCTGAAAGTGGTGGAACATAAATTTGGTCTTTTACCATATTTTACACATACAACAAGTATAAAAAGAAGTCTTTAAACCTGCAATCAAATTTTAGAAAAAAAGGCGCCGTTGCCATGGAGACGGCGACCATATTGGATTTTGTCGACATATCTTATGCAGCGAATACCTCACTTATTTTTCATAGAATTAGATTGTTATTTGGCTGGCTTGTAGGGCAAACAATAGCTCTGTAAATTCGATTGAATTTTTGGTAAAAGATTTACAAAATTTAAATGAATGTTTTTCTTGAGGTTGACCATGCATAGCCTTGAAGAATGTATAGACCCATTAGGAATCATTGGGAGATAAAACTTCTCTTTTTGGGAAGTTAGACAAGTGAACGTATATAGATGCCAAGACAAGGTTGTAGCTTGCTCTGGATTATCATCTCTTTATGTTTTGTGTCTTCTCTCGTCCTTGTTTTTGTTGTTAATATTTTTACCCTTGGAAGAGTTTCCCGCCTTCAAAATAATTTATGTTGATGATCAATGAGATTAACTTGAGCATAAATTTAATTACAATACCTTTAGTCCAAAGTTTGTTAATATTGTAATATAAAATGTTTTGCAGAACACGTTCTCAAATTAAGGAATCTGCAAAGCTTGTAGACTGTTAGGGTTCGCAATCCTACCTCTGAATATCTTAAAAGTTTTTGCTTGTTTCTTATCATATGTTACTATTGATTCTCATGTCAACATGAAATACAAATTTACTCTTTACAGGATTTAACATACTTTTGGTCTTTTTAGAATGAAGGAGTGCTATAACACTCATTAACCCAATCATTTTTTACTTACACGCACCACAACAACAGGGATTCAGGGCTGTTATCGTAAGAAAGATATACTTTTCATTCGTTTGCAAAACTTTGACACATACTTCTTTAGTGTCTGCCTAGTACTGTATCACGTGCCATGAAGTCGGAACAGTACCAGTCATTGAACTAACTCGAGTTAAAAGTAAACTTTGCTCCTTTATCCACATCAGGGATTTCCACTCTCCATGGGTTCACGTTTTGGTCGTCGTGATGTCCTGTATGAAAAAAGTAGCTGGGCCCCCTTTCGATTAAAGGAATGATCGGTGCATTAACATCAACTTGAAATCTTTGGCCTATTATATTTACACTCCACTGGAATGGAGCAATAAATCTTGACAGAAAAGTGACACATGTCATGTGTTTCCAAGTTGCCAAATATATTTAAAACAAACCTGACCGATTTTAAAAAATTAGAGAGACAGAATCTTGTTGATTGTTCCCAGTAGCAAGAAAAAGAATTTGACAAAGGAGTCCAGAAAAAGCGATGATGGGCACCAAACGAAAGGATCACCGTCGAATTTAGCGCCAAGTAAAAAAGGAAAACATGAGGCTTGATCTATACGGGTTGCACACTTAAAATAGCGCTCAGTACTGCGCGACAATGTGCGATAGTATCGAACTGAAGTACGACTTGAAATAAACAAACCTGGCGGATTTTCTAAAATTACAGAGACAGAAGCGTCAGCCTACAAAAGCGATCAGCGAAAAAAAGAAATTTAGCTTTTTGCAGCAAAACTGTCTCAAAACCGAAAAAACGAAGGACGTCATGATCTGGAGAATATTTTAGAGAATCTTTTGTCGAAAACCGCATGTCGATCGATGCAGCCATATTTAAAGCCTTTTGAATAACAAAATTCGGCCTCCACAAATAGATAATACTAGCTGGGCCCCCTTTCGATGAAAGGAATGATCAGCGGTGCCTATACGTTCTTATACTAACCGTTCTCTGACCGTCTAGGCCAGTGCTTTAATATCAACTAAAAGTCATTGGCCTACTATATTTACACTCTAATGGAATGGGGCAATAAATCTTGAGAGATGCAAAAATTATAAGGTCTAGATCTATACTCTCAAAACAAAACGCGCCTCGCGAAATATCACTTCCGGATTTTCTAAAATTACAGAGACAGAATGTTCGACCTACAAAAAGCGATCGGCGAAATAAAGAATTTTAGCTTTTTGCAGCAAAACTGAAAAAACCAAGGGCGCCATGCTCTGGATAATATTTTAAAGAATTTTTTGGCGAAAACCGCATGTCAATCGATGCAGCCATTAAAAAGCCTTTTGAATAGCAAAATTCGGCCACCACAAATAGATAATAGACTAGCTGGGCTCCCTTTCGATGAAAGGAATTTTTAAAATTGAGTCATTGAGGAACACACTTAAGATAGTGCTCAGTATTGCGCGACAATGCGCGATAGTATAGTATTGAACGGAAGCACGACTACCGGATTTTCTAAATCCGAAGACAGAAGCGTCGACCTACAAAAGCGATTGGCGAAATAAAGAAATTTAGCTTTTAGAAGCAAAACTGACTCAAAACTGAAAAAACCAAGGGTGTCATGCTCTGGAGAATATTTTAAAGAATTTTTTGGCGAAAACTGCATGTCGATCGATGTAGCCATTAAAAAGCCTTTTGAATTTTGAATAGCAAAATTCGGCCACCACAAATAGCTAATACTAATAGAAATGCTGGTTACAAGGCGTCTAAATTAGCATCTGCCTTGTCTCTGTGCACTTGCGTTATAATAACTCGTCCTTTTTCCAGTTGTTGCTGTACATTTCTAAACTTAAACGTTGAAGTATTGACAATTGGCCAGATAAATAAAGGTTGTTGGTTCGATTCCAATTGAGTACATGTCATGTTTTTCTCTTTATGATAAAGATTGAGTATCTTTTTCAAAAAGTTTATTGTGGATGGGCAGTTTAGTGATTCACAGCATTTGAAGATCTGCTGTTTTGGAGCACTCTGAAAAAGAAGCACAAATTCCTTTGTAAAATATGTGAACCATTATAATGGAAACCAGGCGCTCGTCAAAACAATGAAATTGAAGAAATCAGCATTTTTCTGCTCGTTTGGCAATTTTTATCGAACTTTTGTTTTTTGGTCGAACACCTTTTTATCAATTAAAGACGCATTTAAACGTGAATTTTACTGAAAAGCGTTGACTAAAAAGAAAAAAAAAGTAAATTTGCAGTTTCCAAAGATTCTCCAGCTTTGAAAGTCACCAAACGTTGGTAGCCATTTTCTTGCTAACTTTACCGCTGAAAACAGGAGACCCTCGTCCAATCGCAAAAATTTCAACTTCTATTCAAGATAGACGGGGGTTTTTCCCCCAAAGGCATGACACATTATGAACAAGCTTTAAGATGGTACCATTAGCTTCATATGCCCCAAATTGACAAGCGCCTGATTTCACTGTGTCGTGACACACAGAGATGTTTTTACATCTCATCGACACAATTTTGGTTTTTTTGAGGGCGGGCTCCCGACCTTGCCCGTCAGCGCCAACTTGGGCTGAGAGGGATACAAGATCCCAGGAGACAGACCGAGATATTGGATTACAGTTCTCCTCACTCGGGAATCGAACCCAAGTCTCACTCACGCAACAGCGAAGGGCCTCATCGGTACGCCACAGACGCCAGTACGATTTTCTTATTTCTACAGATTTCTCAACCCTGTCCTCTTTATCTGAAGCTTTAAAAAGCAGACAGAAATTGAACTTGGGTTTTAAAAGAGTTTTAAAGACTCTTCACCCATTATGCTAACTTGTCGGAGATGGACATTACAATTGCAAGTCTCACCTCTTCAATAGCCTGGCAATGCTGAAAGGGTTATGAAGACTATCCAAAATTGCATTTTTATGATGACAGTGTTCTGTTCGTGCCGGCACTTGGTCAAACATGGGATGACACACAAGAATAGTACATTCACAAGTGCTTCTTGAGAGAGGGGTATCGCTATCAACTATCGACTGTCAACATTCTCTTGTCGGGTTAGGATAAAATCTTGCAATTAATCCCACTTTTATACTGAGCAACGTTTTGTTTTGTTTCTTTTTTTAAACTTCAGAATCAGCCAAAATATGGCCTGCTTGTGCGTGCCTCTTTACTGGTAAGATTGGAATCAGAAAACCAATCTGTTTACAAGAACCTTGCAGCTATTGTTTTTTTAATAGAAACGTCACGAACAAGCAGAATTAGAGTGTCCACAAGGATACACAAGGAAAAATGTAATTAATAATTAACAAATCAAAGATGCTTTTCTCCAAACAACTGGATAATTCATAGACAAAAGCATACATGAAACTATAAATGAGCCGAGACCTCAGTGGAGCGTCATTATCACCCACACTTACAACACCCCACCCTTTACACCCTGAGAAAGGCTCGTTTTCTCCTTTCTTTAAAAATCTTGAAAATGTGCTTGAATTTGCGTAAAGTAGAACCAAAATAAAATTTGGAAGCCTGTGGTATGTTTATATTTATAGTAGCTAAAGTTATGTGGAACTTGTGGAAAAACTAGAATAATTAATTTTAAAAGATACAAGTTTCTTCATACTAAATGTACCTGTGTATAAAAATAATTCCATCGATTTTCATTTCACACCAAACACATTGAAATAATTCTATTCTTTCTTAAATAAGGGCAATCTTCAGGCCTCTCTACATCGAAGTTGAGTCGAATCAGACGTTACTAATTCTCAACATTAAGGGAAAATGAAGCCAAGAAAACAAGCTCAAATATATCGGTACCTTGGTCGGTACCTTGATGCCACCACGACTTATGAAAAACACGAGGTTCCCACAAATAACGCTAAATTAGAACATGCCTTGGTGGACACAGGTGATTACCAGCGTAGTCTTCCTTGGTGAACACAGGGGTGGACACCAGATCCTGCCATTGCTCATAGAATGCTCTGTTGAGGTATCGGAGGTAGATAATCTCTTCGTAACCATTTTGAGTCATTTCGGAGAGAATCAAGGGCAAAATTGACAAAGAAATTGAGGATGAACAGTTCGGCTTAAAGTCTGGAAGTGGAACC